ATTTTTATTTCTATATTTGAGTAAAAATGTCACCATAGATAAAAGTTAGTGATATCTGTTGCTTCTTTGCTTTTCAATAGGTATTTTAATGGTGATTAAAAGCGGTGCACCGATCAGAAAATGTTGGGCTAATCTCTGATTTAAAAGAAAAAAAAAGATTTTTAAACTTTGCGTTGCCAAGTCTGATTTCTTTTAGAGGGAGGATATAGAAATCTATCAGAACAGCATTGAAAATATTTATGGTCTTCTTGTTGTGAGCGATCAAATATTTATATTGGAGCCAGAAACAACATGCTGTTGGTGTAAAGCAATTTTTTACTACGGTTGTGGAACAGATGCTACAGATTTCAGTGTTTGAGATGCCTTTCTGCATTAAGACAAAGAAAAGTAAATTATTAGGCAAACTTTCTTACTGCAGACTGAAGCAGTAATTTCACCATTTGATTCAGAAGCGTTTGATGAGTCCACAGGGTTGCTTTTGACAGCATCAGACATCCCAATTCTTTGTTTGATGCCATTTTAAACTTCATACCGAAATGGTTATCTTTTTTTTTTCTTCCTTCATTGATGGCCTCCACACTGAAGAGTGTGCACAGCAGTGCATTTGTAAGCATGTTTGATGATTAAAAAATGTTCACATCTTACAGTTTATGTTTGCTTGGTTTCTAAACTGAGCTAATCAAAAAAACAGTTTATTTGAACAAAGACAAATTTGTGATTTAATCATTTCGAGTTATTTTCTCATATTTAAAGGAAGTCGCAGGTATTCCAACATCGGCTTCACTTTTAACACCAAGATTTCATCCATCTCAACCCTGGAGCTCATTAAAAGTGGCAGTGCCTCTTTGGTTAACACTTCCCTCTCAGTTTTTGGGTTACATATGTTATATGTGATCCTTTGCACAGATCATAGAAGACCAACACTGTTCCTCTGAGTCTCCTCCAATGGACAAAGTGAGCCACGCATTTGCTTTTTCACACTATCCATCCTTGTTGCTAGGATACTGCTTGATGATTATTTTTTTTTCTCTCTTCTTGACCCGGCTCATTTTGTTGTTCCTTCCTTTTTGAATCTTGATGCTTTTTCTGTATCGAAAGCCATTTGCTTCTGTTGATGAATGACTAGTCTAGTATAAGTTCCTCAGTGCATTAAATGTGAAGATTTGCTCATTTTCTGCCAAAGAAACTTTATTCTTTATTTCACAGAGAGCGAGCTACAAGATTGAGACGCGTTCCAGCAATGGACTGTTTAATTATTGACCCAACCTACATTGCTGTAATTAAAACACAGCACTAGCTGAATGTGCACATCTGTTCTTTTGTAGTCGTGGAAAATTGATTATCTTGTCTCTCTGTGGAAACTTGGTTGATTTTTATTTCTTTTTTCAGAGGTTAGATTGCTTATATGAGTTCTGCATGTTATTCATCACGCCTTTGTAAGTGTTAGCGTCTCAGTCATAAAAACGACACCTCAAATATGGCAGTTAACGTCTTTACAAGATGTACTCTGCATCATTAACTTGCATTATATGCATGCATAGAACTTGAAATATTATGTCCTACCAAATATTTCATGTAAGCACTGGTGATTGCTATGTATCACACATCAATATTGCATTAAGTTTCAGAGCTTCAATAGGAGTGTTGCAAACAACAGTGACATTTTAATACAACACCTTGATTAAATATGTGTTTCTACAAACCCAAATTGTTGATTTTATTTGCAGCCAGTGTGTGAAAAGAACGCTGAAAATGTAATCGCTTTGATTATCTGTTAAACAACCAGAAGCTTATAGTTTGCTTTTTACCCTCCTCATTAAATTGTCACTGACTGCACAAAGGAAGCAGCCACATAAAAACACTTCACTTTCCCAGCCAGTCAGCAGCTCCTGGATGGTCAAAGACAGTCCACAGTGTGGTCACTCTGATTGGACAGTCGGTCTGGGTTTAAACCTCAGTGGGGTTTGAATGTTCACCACATGCTGTCACTCTGAATGAAGCACTGCAGACCAACCGGCAGCAGCTCTGCTGTTGCAAGAGTTCAAGACTTGCACCTCAAAACACTTGAAATATTCACCAATAACATATTCTTTCTTCAGATTGTATGCATTCACAATATGCCACAAAGTAGTTTTTGTTTATTCTCGTTAATAAATTCATGTAAAGTAACTTGGCACTAATTCTGTTACTGTTCCACCTATTAAAAATGATTGTGGCAAAACAAATGTACTGAAATGAAGGTTGCTCAAATGCATAAGCAGAGTTTGTGATTACAGTATGATGATTAGCTGTGCGCTGTAAAACCCCTGCGCTCGCTAGCGACCATCTGGATGCTGCCGTGCTGAAAATATGGGACGAGGCAGTGTTTGCCTCATACGATGCAGTGTTAATTGCTGACATCCGACATGACTGCGAGGTGCGTGGTGTGCGAAAACATCCTCACTGACATCTGTTATGTTTTTGTGTGACACAAGTACAGCAGTGAGTGGGAGAATAGAGCTGAAGCTACTGGATGTGGCTCCAGTGGAAGATGGGTTCTGAACATATGCCTTTAAATCTCATACAGTATCCAGTGGCATACTGTATGAGGGCTCTTCCCCAGAGGCTGCCATCTGGAAGAAAAAGGAAGAATGGAGGGGGAACATCTGGTTCTGTCCAAGTTTGCATTGGCAAGCTCTTGAGTTTTACAACAAATCTGGGCCAGAAGTGGATCTAAATCTATGTTAGTTTAGTTTGGATACTTGCTTTGGTTTGGATATAGCAGAGATTGTCCAGGTTTATTGATCACCAACTGATATGTTTTTACTCTGAGTCAATGTTTTTTGTTTTTCTGACGATGTGATTAAGGAATATAACTAATTGTTCACACGACTACAATAAAAATAAACATGTATTAAACTTACTGCAGAAAATGGGAGAGAGAAACAAACGGTAATCCTGCAAGCAGCAGTGAAGCAATTATATCATGAATCCCTGTTCGGTTCAGCCCTCATGCTGCTTCTGAGGTTTGCAGCCCTTTTAATGTTTTCAGTTGAGTTGATAAAACCTTTTTTTTCCTCCCCTTCTCTCACATATGTCCGACCACACAGAGAGCAGTGCACATGGTCTTCCAGTGCAGTATCTCCGCTACACAAACTGCTTTAACTTTACATGTTTTTTTATTTCTCTCTGTCTGTTTCCAACAATCTCCCCTGCTGATTCTGTTCTTTTGAAAGTTGGAACTGCAATCTAGAGCGTTTGCAGAAATGTCTCCATACTGTGTGGTGAATCCTGTTTCCCCAGTGGCTCTCTATGGCAGAGATTCAGTAGTGTTGTCTCTAACAATAGTCGATCATTTGATTCTTTGGCTCTTAGACTTTTTGTTAAAAAATGATTGCCAAGGTTAATTATGTGTCTCAACAGATGCAGTATTAGAGGAATAAAAACTTAAAAGTGAGACATCACAGAGCTCAGCCTCAGCTCAGAAACTAAAGATTTGAAGTAGGGATTCACTGATGTGGAAATCCAGGCTGATTAAAATATTAAAATTCCAATTGTGGCCAATATTGATCTTTTTTGATATTTTCCGAACCTTTTCAACATAAAGAAAACAACCATACAACTGACATCAGCTAAAAAAAACAACCGCAGCATCATTGTCGCTTAACAAACCTCTTTTCCGTCAAGAAGCATAAACCGCAATAAAAGTTTCTTAATTTTAAATGCATGACTAATACAGATTTGTTAAAAAAATACAATAAAAAAAGACCGCCATCAGCTGCTATGATGTTGATACCAATATATTGTTCAACTATAAATTAAACCAATAAATGCTCCTGGAGTTGATATTAAATTGATGTCTTTCCCACAGCGACCCGCTGCTCTACAAAGCTCGAACCGCCGTGTTGCTGAAAAAACATGAGGCAACTTGATGTAGAACTCATCAATTTGGGTCGGCTAGATTACTCCAAAAGTGATCAGAATAAGTAAAAAAAAACAACCTCATCATTTTTTTTTCCTTCAAGGAGTATTACAATGAATTTATAAAAGCGCTCTTCTTTTTTTTTTTTTCTTTTTTGGCGGGGAATTTTAAACTCTCCAGCAACAATATCTGAATTTAAAAATCGGTCTTGCACAATTTATACTTTTTAACAGAAATGTCCAGATAGTAACGCTGACTGGAGTCAGATGTTCTATCAGAACATCCTAAGATGTTCTGATAGAAAAAGCATCCTTGATTCTGCAAAAATGTCAGAATCACCATACACATGTGATAAACATCCAACAGTTTTGCTGTTAAATGTCCACTTTATTTTCAGTGTTTCAGTGGAAGAATTTAATGCTGCTTTTTCATAAACGATCAAGCCTTAAAACATGAAAGAAATTGACTATCTGAGATGTGCCAGCAGCAAACAGCATGACATTTTCACGGTGCATAAGGGCTTGGAGTCTGGTATCAGTTGTAATAAGTTTGCATAAACAAACATCAGGTAAGAGAGGGTTGGAAAAATGGCTCAAGGACTCTGCAGTGTCTCTCTAGCTTTTGCTCCTTACTTTTACATTCGTTATGTCTTGCAAATGTGACTGCGGCTTCACTTCGCAGCACACATTTGCATGTGTGGCTGTTGGGGGCGGAAAAATAAAACCCGGAAAAATTACACTTTCAAATTTTCAGTCCTACTTAATGAACCCCAACCTAAAGCCTAACAAGGCAGAACAGAAAAAGAACACCTTTCCTCTCGCCTGCATACATACATTATCGGGGAAAGGAATTCCAAGCAGCTTTCCTAATCAGAGCCGGTGTTGACTGAGGGCTGAATTGGAGAAGGAAAAGCATGCAGGTTTTAGTCGGGCAGGTGAGAGGGCAACTATGCTTAAAGGGGAGAACAATCGACAACTGAGATTTATGCTAAAAATATGAATGTGTCATAGGAATTCCTTGCTCAATCAATGTTCTGAAACTCTGCCATGTTTGTTTTTTCTTGTGAGCCTATAATTTGTCTTTCTCCATTGATGTGCAGGTATGACTACAGAGAGATGCTCTACAACTCTACGTTCTGTCTGGTTCCTCGGGGTAGAAGGCTGGGCTCCTTTCGTTTCTTGGAGGCTCTGCAGGTGAGTGAGACTCAAACACATCTTCCAATGTGAGCATTTCAGACATGCGTTCACATTTTACTTGTTTCTAAAACTACCACCACTTCAGAATAACGACTTAGCATTTTTTTTGTATGTTTTCTAAAATAAAATAAAAAATAAACTGAATAGTAATGGCTAGTCCCAATAAGCATTTCATAAATTAATCAGAAGATGAATTAAAACAAAGTTGATCTTTTCCACTATGATGATTAATATTTTTTCTTTAGAAACCTCAAACTTCATTTTATTTTCTGTTTTGTGTCATTTTTAATTCTGTTTATTTATTGTTTTTGTTTGTTGTGTTTTAGTTGGGATATTTAGAATATGTTCCAGTGTTTAGGGTTCTTTACAATATTAAAGTTTACTGATCGTTTAGAGGTTTAACTTGCATTATATCATTAGCTATGTCTCGAATATAGTCAAAACAGCAATGTTAATGTTTATCACAGTAATTACAGGGACGATTTATTTGCTATTGTGAGAGGCCTATTCCCAGTGAAACAGTTGGCACAATTAGAATCTATATCACATACATATTTTCTCTGCATAGTGGTAGGAATCTTTAGCCAGTTTGCTGTTTTACTCAATGCTAATACAAAATCAAATATGAGTTGTGTAATCAGTCCATCAACAGCAGAGATTTAAGCACCATTCTCTCAGAAAGATGAATATCTGGCGCTGGAATCCCTTCTTAACAGCTGAATTTGTGTATGTTTATTACATCCCAAGACACACCAAAAGATAAACACTCATAGATGTTCCAGGTTTTGCTGAACATTAATGGAGTTAACTATTCTGACCATTTTTCTTTCTTTTTTTGGTGTTTTTTTTTTTTTTTTTTTTAAAGCACCAACTGGGCCCCACAGGCCATCTCCCACACTCAGTGATTTTGTTATTGTGCTTCCAATGTTTTTTTTTTTTTCTTTAGCTGCCTCCGACTGTGTGTCCTCACCCTGTCATTATGTCTCTCATGTTGGAGTCGTCTTTTCACTTCTGGCTTGTCAGCCACCTACTCTTTTTCTGACTCTTTATTAATACGTTTCTTCAACTTGTGGAAAACAAAATACTCTCCAGAGGAATATAACTATAAAAATATAAGATGAGACAAGAAACTCTGCTGATTTTCTTTTTTCATTCCCAGTCCAGCAATATCGCATCGCTCTACACTCGCAGCTGTGTGTTTGCATTCTTCCGAATATTAAAGCATCACTCTCACCCTCAAAAGTATTGACGGATATTACACCAGCTTCTCTAACGCCCCCAAAAGGCTTCCTTTCACCTGCAGCCATATATATACAGCTACTCTTGCTAGTAGATCTAACGTCACATCTAGAGAAAAATTGTATCTCTGATGCAAAACTTCCACACCCCAAATATTCTTCTTAAATTTTATTCCCACAACTTGACTAATAGGGTTAAAAATGTATTTTAATGGGCATTATTGTTTAATGTATGTCTTACTGAGGTTGATGTCAACAAAACAAGACCATCTTGGTGTGTAAAATGTAAAATTTTAACCTTTCAGAATTAAAGCCTCTCAATTATTTTCACTTATGTAACTATTTAGGATGGCAAAAAAATATTTTATACTGGCAGCTTTTTCATTGTGGTCCCAAAATCAGATCGGTGTGAGTCATGTGATTCCTAGAGATTGTAAGGCTCTCTTGATTTTACACCACGAACACAGTACAAGCTAATGTCGAAATCCACTTAATAGGTAGTTTCACTTCAATGACTTTAATCTTATTTGCCATTCTCTGCATTTTCACTGTGTTAGAAGAACCAGGGCTCTTCTGTTATCAAGTAGAAACAGAAAGCAAGCTGCTAAAGTTCTCTTCAAAGAGTATTTCTTTTCAAATGTAGCATCATTAGGCTCTTTAATTCCTCTAAAATCCATATTCACAGACTATAGGGATAATCTATATTTCTGTAAAGAGAAAATATCATTGTTTGCAAGAAAACCACAGGTGTTTCCATTATCAAAACTAGTAATTAATTGTTTTGCATATGGTTGAGAAGCCTCCCAATGATAAAAGAGTAAATTATGTCAAGCTTATTTCTATACCGCCTATTCATAACAAACATCAGTCAAGCCCCTTTATAAGGTAAATGAATTCAAATCAGGTAAATGCATTCCAGTATAATCCAACACAACCCTACAGTCCACATCAACTAAATTATATTACAGCAAAATAAATTTTGTTTGATAATTTAATACTAACCGATTAAACGTTACAGTACCTATAAAAAGTATTTACTTGGATGTATTACCCTTATTACATAAGGGGTTGTATAAATTAGTGATTGCATAGATAATTACTCCTTTCAAGTCAATATTTAGACGATTTACCTTTAACTTTTGCAATTCTACAAAAAACAATTTCTAACAAAACTCAAAAGGGGCATTCACAACTGATTTTTGTCATTTTGTAGATATCACTTTTAAACTCAATAAGTGATGAATTGCTTAAGATGGTTGTCATTACGTTTTTTTGTTTGTTTTTTTTTCGATAAATGGCTATAACCTGATAATAAATGCAATTGTTACCATTGAAACAATGAGACTGCACTGCAGAAATGGAAATCCTTCAGTCCGTCTGATAAAATACAAACTTGATTTTAATGTTTATTGAGAGAGCTGCTGGCTGTAAATTGAGCTCAAATCAAATTTCTAATGGTTCCTGCAGTTTAATGCTTCCACTGCAGGATGCAGAGTGCCATTTTTAACACCGCATTTATAGATTATGTATGTATTGATGATGTTTATGATTATGTCACACTCGAAGCAGAAAATTGTTTTTTCCCCCCTTCATACACATTGAGCAGGCTGTGCTAATATGAATATACTTCTGCATATGATGCAGAAGTATATACTGCATGTATATAAAACAGTTTGTTTTATGTCAAACAAAATATTGGTGTCTAAACTAATTTTTGTTCAGTGATATTTCAGTTTAGAATACTGTAGTCAGTGGTCTTAGAATAACTATGACCTTTGACCTCAGAAGAAGGTAGACAGTGTGTCTGTAATAATAATTACTTCCCTGAGGAGTTAGTGGCGAGACCAAGTGAGCTGACAGGAAGACATTTGCTGTCGTACAATTCTGGACTGTGGTCTGAGTGTGTGTGTCTATGAATTCACACTCCTGGCCTGAAGTCGGGCAGACGTTGATACATTTCAACCAGTTAGTCGAACATGGTTTACTGTGTCGTCATAGTGCCATAGGGAGGTTTTGAGGTGGACGGCCAGAAAGTAGTGGAGAATCTCAGTGCAGCACACTGTAGATCAGGTTGTGCAATGCAGAAAGAATTGGAGGGGAAAATATGTTTTATGCATCTGAAAGGTTTCCCCAGCTGAAATGTTTTAATGACTGTTGTGCGTTGGTGTGATATTATGACGAAGGAGAGGATTGGAGTGCAGGACTGCTGTGGATTGCTGTATGAGAGCAGATAAGCAGGTAAAGCTTGGCAGCCTTTGAGCAGATTGCTACCTATGCTAATGACACTACGCAGATTAGAGAAATGCACACGCAATCCAGTGCAGGAATGTTTGTGCCGGGACAAACATGCGCATGCACGCATGTGTGTGTGTGTGTGTGTGTGTGCGTGTGCGTGCCCAGTGACCAATCAGTGAATGAAATCCCACTTAGCAGATTACAGAGCCTGTCACTGCTGGCAAGAGGCTGCTTTTACTGTCCCACACATACACACACACTCAGCTGACTGAATCAGTTTGTAAGAACATGGATCCAAACAAACACACATACTGAAAGAATATTAAGCTATTAGAAACAGGGGATTCATGTTCTGGTTTGCTTCTGCTTATGTCCTTCTGAACATGATTGTTTCTGAAATGGTGCTTAATATTGTGTTAAGTTTGAGCAAGTAAATCAATGAAACACTGATGTGAAATATGTCCAGTTGTCTTTTGTGACTAAGCCTGTCATGAGAAGCAATAAATCAATTAATCGCTTGATAATTTACATTTTGACAAGATGCTCTCCTTTAATATGTTTTTTATGTTTTTGTTTGTTTTTAATAAAAGTGATAACTAGCATATTTTTCTGTTTCCCTATGGAAGCTGAATAATATTTTTTGAAATGTAATTTTGGTTAGATTTCATTATCCATTTTAAATATTCTGTTCTTTTTTTATTTTTTTTTTTTTTGGATGTGTCAAATGTTCTTTTGAAATTAGTGGGGTAGAGGGGGTTTGAGCGGTTTTACTTGCATTAATATGCCATCATTGTTAGTTAAAATGGCCTCAAGGTGACAATATTATCATTTATGACAATCATTTCTGGGTCATTTTATCATCCAGGAAAATTTATCATGACAGGTCTATATGTGACTACACAGGGATTTAGAAATGTCTCAGATCTAAGTTGTTTCCTGTAGATCCTGAATATACAGTAAAGTAATGATCCCTGAAAAGTTCCAGCTAAATATAAGAAATTTAACACTCTGGAGTAGCTTGATTCTCCAAATTAGATGCTGAGGGCTGTTTGTTTGACTAAATGCACAGAAGATGGGAGAATGCTCATCTTTTGTTTGCACATGATGATGTTGCAGGCAGCTTGTGTGCCAGTGATGCTCAGCAACGGGTGGGAGCTTCCCTTCTCAGAAATCATCGACTGGAACACAGCAGCTGTGATTGGGGATGAAAGACTACTGTTGCAGGTAGAAACACTGTGAATAACTAAACTTTAAAACCTACATTGGGTTTGATTGCTTTGTTTTGTTGAATTTTGTTAGAAATGCTCCAATTAGGTTCGTGTTACCGATTTCCGATGTCAGGTTGTTTTTTTTTACTTTGGCCCTGCACATTCTAAATTTAACCAAGTCCAATTTCTTCTAAACGGAAGATCTTCGTTTTTGCCTTCTCGTGATGACGGGTCATTGAACTTGTCACACATTTTAGATGTTTTTAGCATTGTATATTTGCAGTTGGCACAGATTGCTTTATTTTCCTTAATGAGTACCTTCCATTGGTTGCATGAAAGCTCAACTAGATAAAACACATCTCCCCTGTAAAACATGCAACCTTCCTGTTATCTGTTGGAGTCCCAATTTCTTAAACAGACTTATTAATGTTCTTCCTGTTTAAAGCAGACTGGATTTCTGTTATTTTACACATCATTATAAAACATCCTTTTCTTGTGTTCATCTGTAGTAGGAAGTCCACATTAGAGTGCCTGCATGATACATTAAATGTTTTATGTTCTCACTAAAGTGGGTCAGTTATCTAATTGTTGGTTGTTTTTTTTTTTTTTGGCCCATCCCATCTCTGTCCCAGATCCCTTCGACAGTACGCTCCATCCACCAGGATAAGATCCTGTCTCTGAGACAGCAGACGCAGCTCCTGTGGGAGGCTTACTTCAATTCTGTGGAGAAGATAGTGTTGACTACGCTGGAGGTACAACAACACATACCAAACACGCACATAGGAATTCACACTGTCATCTATTCTGTATAACCCTAACCTTAACCCTTGTATTTCTACTACGGATGGATTATTGAAATAATTGTCAACTAATTTGGTGATAGAGTAATTGTCACCTGGAGTACACAGACTCAAAAAAGGCCAAATGCTGAAAGAACAACATAATCAGAGTAGGAATGTAGAAAATATATGTGCATTTTGCATTTAATATGTGTAAAAAGAAATTGTCTTTAAATATTTAATATTCTTCCCAAAACTCCTCAAGCTGCAGTTTTAGCTTCACCTGATTTAAATTCTGTAAAAAAAAATATATATATAAATAAATAAAAATAAATAAAATCCCATTTACCACCTTTTGGTATCCAATTATAAATTGGTTAATCCAAAAGTAATCAACAAAACAGCCCTACACTGAATTGCTATTAAGTCAAGCAGAAAGGACGGAGCTTGTCACATGTTGATGTCACAAGCATGTTTTAGCTGCAGATTAATCCCCCTACAGATGATCAGGCTTTCACTGAAGGAATGCTATGTTATTACATTTTAGGCAAAAAATATTTTACTCGCCTAAAAAATTCATTGCGTTTGTCATTAGCATCTTTTAATGCATTCCTAATATTGTATAACGTAGCTTAAATTAAAAATCTGCACAATGTGCCAATCTTTTTAATCCGATTAATTGTCAGAATAATTGCTAAAATAATTGGTAACAAATAATTGTTAGATCCAGCTCTATTTTCTACATTAATGTAAAAAATTCCACATTTTGTTCATAAAAGCTATTTATTTAATTGTTAGATCAAATAAACAAGTCTTTTAAGGGTTATCAAGTGAAAAATCTGGATATCAACCATATGGATATCCCAGCTTTGCAGTTGCATACAGCTGGGAACTGTGTAGCTTCTCGATTGAGTAATACAATCTAGAAGGAGAGGGCTGTCGTAAGGAGAGGGCTGTCAATATTTTTGATGCAGCATCCTGTTTTGTCTTGCCTATCAATCACATCAGTAGTTTGTTTCTGTCAAGCTCCATTTATCTGCCTTCCTCCCGGTGAGTACCAGATGATCAAGCTGCTGCCAGCTTAGAATTGCAAACGGCTGAAGATGAGAGCCGAGAAGAATAGAAATTGACAAGGGTGCGAGATAGCAGCCGAGGGAATGTCTAAAGTTCCTTATGAGTACAGCAGGCTTTGTGTCGGCATAGTTCATTGTCACTAAGCTCACAAGCACCATCGGCATTATACCTTCATGTCAGCAGCGGACCTTGAACTTTAAAGTTGTTGGTAAATTACCTGAGAGACTGCTGGAATAGAGCAGCTTTTCGAAGTTATCTCAATGTTGTGTTGCATGTGAGACCGAGCCAGCAATAGGTCACACCATTAGCCTTTATCTTTTGATAAAAGCAAAAGCACTGATGTACAGAGGTGGATTTTTCTCAAACAGCACAGCAGCATGAAGTTGCAGAACCAAGCAGCTTATCTCCAATCTGTTTGCACTCTCCGTATCTTAACTCTTTTCCGGCTGTTTTTATGTGATTCCAAATATTTTACTACAAACTCTGGCTGCAACTGATTGTCAGATGAAAAAATTCACATTCTACAAAGTTTTCATTTAGCCACGTAATCCTTTTTCTGCAATATTAGAAATACATTAAAAGATGCAAATAAATAAATAATTCAGTCCCTTTTTTAAATAAGAAAGTAAGCTTTTTATTTCCCAAATTGCAATACAATTGTTGCATGATTTTTTTTTTTACCAAATGACAGTTTTTTTGAGTCTGCACTAAATTAGTTAACGATTATTTAACTAATCAATTAATAATCAATTAATTTGGATTAATTTGATTAAGCATTGCAGCCCTACAACAAACGTAACAGAAGTGACGAGTTGCATTATGTTTTAGCCTTTTTCTGTTGCTTCATTATTAATTCTGACGATCCTTGACATTTTATAAAAATATCTTGTACCTCGGTTCTCAAAAGTGTTTTTTATCAACAGGGAATGATTAATGCTGTGCGAGAAAAAACAACGTATGACAGTCATATTATTTATTTTTTCAGTCTGAAAAACAAAATTAATTCTTAATGGTTGACTTTTAAGAACTGAGCCAGAAAAAACAGAGTAAACTTCAAAGCTTTTGTTTTCAAAGATGAGATGCTGAAGGGTGTTATTTTATTGCATCATCAGCAACATACCATAGCTTTTTAAAGTTTAAGTATTTGTTGTTTGTGTTTTGTTTTTGTTTTTTTTTGTAAATAACTATTGAATGTTCATCAAAACTTATTACTTTCAAGACATGCCGTTTAAGAAAAAACAGGCATCTGCAGTCAGTTGAGTTTGTTTCTAAAAAATATAATTTGAAGCAGATCAGTCGTAGTGATTAAAATTATGTTCTTTATGTTTTCTTTTAATGATCCGCCTTCCTCTATAATGTTAGATCATCCAAGACCGCGTTCTGGAGCACAACTCCAGAAGTAGCCTCATGTGGAACAGCCTTCCTGGTGGGCTCTTCACTCTCCCTCACTACTCCACTCACCTGGGGGATTTCCCCTTCTTCTACGCTACGCTGGGTCAGTAGGTTATTGCTACGCCTTGTATTGTGAGCTCAGGTCACTTAATACCTTATAATATCTCCTTACAATAATTTTACATTTTTGACAGATTTTTATCTCTGTCCCAAAACAGACAACAACAAACAAACAAAAAAAGAATTAGTAAATTAAGACGCCTCATATAAACACCTACCGTCATGTTATAGAATTATAACCTGTACTTACTTAATTCAAAAGCAGAACTGCTGCAGATTTGGTTTTCTCAGCATAATTTTACAACTCATGTTTTTTTCATACTACAATAATTACATGTCCCTTTGAACTTATTTCTCTTTGAACTTGACTTTCTGTTTATGTCTTGGTATCAGGATCATCAGCCAGAAACATTATGTTATCTTTCTAGCGGGTTCCATAGACCTTGAAGGAGTTTTTTCTTTTTTTCCAAAAAATATTTGTTTGAATACGAGACTAAACCAATTACGAGCTGATAACAATCAATTAACAAAGTTTTATTACGCTGACACAAAATAATTTTCACTTAATTGATATAATCCAGACTTACTTATTCATTGCGTTTTGACTGTTTAAATGTCCACATATTTTGTATAGGTCCATAGTCATCCATTGCAGTTAGATTTCTTACTCTGTAAGCGTTACTGTTTGCAAAGCAGAACACGTAATGACAGTATTATGTTCCCCCCTGCAGGTATCAAGCCGTACCCGAAGTTTACAGCAATCATTCATGTGGTCACCCCACTGGTCTCCCAGTCCCAGCCAGTGATGAAGCTGCTTGTAGCCGTTGCCAAATCCCAGTACTGTGCTCAGGTGATTGACACATTGATTCCCACGTGGTCCTCGTGTGTTACTCCATGAAAGTATCATTGAGCAAAATGGGACAAGAAGGTTGTCCCATCCCCAAACAAACCAGTCTAAGCGGTTTACCAGCTAACGGAAACAGCAGAGCAGCTTGGAGACGTCATTATGCAGGTGTAATTTCTGGGTTCTGCCTGATCAGTTGTTGTCTTTAAACTGCTTGTTAAATGAACTTATTCACATTTGAGGAATGACAGAAAGATGTTACGATCATTTGGAGAATATTCTGCTGCAGCAGATCCAACCTGTCGGTCTTTATTTTTTCCTCATGTTGTTTTAATATTCCTATTCACACCTCAGGTGTAACTAAGCTGCTGTTGTTGTGCCTCACATACAAAAGCAGTATGTGAGCCACATGTGACGTCATGCTATAAAGCTGTTTGAAATAATAATGCTGAGTAATATACTTCTGTGAACTGCAGCAGTAATCGTTTTCTTTTTTGTGTGGAGGGCCAGTTCCGCAAACAGAAATGTAGATTTACATAAAAGTTGTGCTCTAAATTAGTGTTGAAAGACAACAGTCGCCTTAATCAAAACAACTTCTACGTTAGGAAACATGCAAATGAAGATGATTCATGTCGCCTGTTTCCTCCATGCAGGTGATCGTTCTTTGGAACTGCGACAAGCCTCTTCCTGCCAAACACCGCTGGCCCTCCACCTCGGTCCCTTTTATTGTCATAGAAGGAGAAAGCAAGGTAAACCTCTGAGTCAGAATCCTCCGCCACTGAGCACATCACTGCATTTTGCCCTAGAAGTCACAACGTTTTGACCTGGGCTGTTTACGCACGTTTGAAATGTTGGAAAACTGCTGTCAGGTACAAGAGTTAATCCATTAAGGATATTCTGAAAGAATTCTTTTCTGAATATCCTTTTATGCCTTCAGGTCAAATATTGATTTGTTAAAAGAAAAAAGACATTGATGAGGTAAATATCATTTAATTCTTTGGTTGTGTCCCGCCATTCAAAGCGGTTGTAATGAGCGCTCTGGAAAGTCCATAAAGTTCCGGTTTTACAGCCTGTTGAATAAATGATGTTAAATTAATTTTTATGACATTTTAAATTACTCCAAAGGGAGCATTAATAAAAAGCTGCTTCACAGGGTCAGAACATTTTAGAAAAATCTGACAGCCATAAAGAGTTTTCTGACATCAAGCTGCTAATGTCAGGAAATAATATTTGGACTCATTTTCTCGAGGTCTCGCTGAAATATCAGTCATTTTTTTCAGAATATACTTTGCAGTACTAAACATCCATCTGATGTGTATTGGAAAGCACAAGATATTTGGCTTCCCTCTCTGCTGCACAACAGGTTGTTACAGCTGGATGTATAAGAACAAATTACCACGTGCAGAAAGCCTTCGTTGTTGAGTCTGACAGCTCACTACAGTGAACTCACTTCAGCACGCTGCCATAATGCCAGTTTTACTCTCAGCTGATACATTCATGTTAGGAGTTTGTCATTGAATAGCTGTAATACAATCCACCACAAAGAACCTGCTGTTTATTTCTTTCTGAGAGGAAAAAAAAAACTGTGAACTCTGACAATGACATTTGTTCACTGGGAAAAAAATTCTGCAACTTTTTTTTTTTTGAACAATACAACTAAAGGGGATGTTTATATATACATCTCAGTTGATCAAAGGTTCTTGTACTTTTTAAAAATTGTAATCCATGACTTTCACTTTTCCTGAGGATTACAGTGGCTTTTTATTTTGTAGCAAACAAACTATGAGTTGGTCCTAGGCCAGTAAGTGATACTGTGAGTCTGTTTCTCTTCTTAATGCCCTGTGAACCCTAGCATCGCATCATAAACTATTTGAAGTACCAGAAGGTGTTTCTAGTTGTACCCAAAATGATTTATATGTTTGGGAGAGTTAGGTCTAACGTATTTTTTTAAATTCTACTAATGTGTTTCTTTTGGCTGGAAGTGATATCAATGATTAGAGTCTCTTCCAGAAGTTGTGCAGGGAATGAAAAATTAGACCATTTTCTTTCTAAAGCCTGAACAAAACTGATTTCTTTCTTCAGAGTTGATACTCCTTTTATTTTGGTTTATCTTTTGAAATGCAAATCTCCTCTCCTCTCAAAAAACAGTCCTTGATTAAATGTACAAACTTTTAAATCCGTATCATTCAGGAGTATGAATAACGTTGTGGACAATAATGTAAACGTTGGGAACAAATCAACACAATACCCCAAATCAACCGTCTTTCTGGGCTGTTTTATGGCTCAGACGTAACTGATGTAGAAAACCTGTGGCGTGAGCAGAAGAGTGCATCAGAGGGAACACTGACGGTCAAAGATCCTTCTCTCTAGATGCTGAAACCTTATGCAAGAGAAGCAAAGAATAAAGCTTATATTGGCAAAATGGGGTTGCAACAAGTATTTAAAGCAGGGTTAGCAACACTTACACAAGTAGTGACTTAGAAAAAACATTTAGTTTTTTTCCCCTCTGAATAAACATTTGCTGCTGTGTTAAAATTCAAATTTATTTTGAAGGTTACTCACTCATCTCTGTTAGGGATGCCAGCACATTTGTCTGCAGCTGCAATAAAATGATGTAACTGTCTACTGACTGTCGGCAACCGTCACACGTCTCTCTGTGCGTTTGTTTTCCAACTCCTACCAGGTGATAAGCAGCCGCTTCCTTCCCTACGACACCATCCCCACAGACGCTGTCCTCAGTCTGGATGAAGACACTGTGTTGTCCACCACAGAGGTTAGCCTCCTGTTATATGAAGAAAGCGTTCTTTTTCACTCCATTTTTTATCATTTTTTGGTGCGAGTACTTTACGACTTTTTTTTTTTTTCAAGTTTTTAAATCTGCGATCTGGCCACAGGTGGACTTTGCCTTCACGGTGTGGCAGAGTTTCCCTGACCGCATCGTTGGCTACCCGGCCCGCAGTCACTTCTGGGACAGCAGCAAGGAGCGCTGGGGCTACACCTCCAAGTGGACCAACGACTACTCCATGGTGCTGACCGGGGCCGCCATCTACCACAAGTACACGCTTTTGTTTTTCATTTTCCACCAACGCGGTTTTGGGCCACCTTGTCTTCTAAGCGCTCCATTGTTCTCCTTGTCACACTCCTCCCACAGATATTACCACTTCTTGTACACCTCCTACCTTCCAGACAGCCTGACGACAATGGTTGACCAAATGTCAAACTGCGAAGACATTCTTATGAATTTCCTTGTGTCAGCCGTTACCAAGCTACCGCCCATTAAGGTCACGCAAAAGAAACAATACAAGGAAACCATGATGGGACAGGTGAGACGCAACCTTTCACATTCACTGGTGATTTGTATGTGTTTGGATGGTGAGATTAATCTGATTTCTTTGAATCTGACCGTCACCATTCAGGGATTACTAATACAGGATTGAAACCCTTGAAAATGCTTAAATTTCAGTTGAATGTTTTCAAGGTTTGGACAGGTCTTAGCTTCTCTCTAAAGTCTCCTAACCGTCCTATTATGTTGCAGGTCAAATTGACCCGTTTTAAAGTTAAACTTTTTTTTTAAGTAGTTGGAAGCTTTTTTTATTTTTTTTTTGCATGAAACTTTTTCTATTCGTCTTAATAGGTGCACACTACATATAAATTGAAAATTGAATATAAGCTAAAATAGTATAAAAGATATTTATTAATAACATTAAATAGTCATATGACAGTGAATTGAATTTGTATTGTTTTTATTTCCAAAGTGTAATGCTGGAAAAGTTTGAAAACTTGCCTTGAAAATGCTTTCATTTTACTGTGGGAAAAGTGTAGCAGCTTATAGCTAATTGACACATCACACTACAAAATGCCACATAGTGAGTTCAAGACCAAAAGGACAGTGTGTAAATTGAAGTTGTTTCCTTCTAATGTGCCTAGATTCAGAAAAAAAAAACCTGTGAAAGGTCACCGGAGCACAAAACGAATTATTCATTTAGTCGTTTCCTTCCTCTTCCTGTTGGAACTCGTTTGTGTTCTGACACTACTCTTTCCTTGTCCCAGAGCTCCAGAGCGTCCCGTTGGGCCGACCCGGACCATTTCGCCCAGCGTCAGACCTGCATGAACAAGTTTGCCAACTGGTTTGGCACCATGCCTCTGGTCCACTCCCAGATGAGGCTGGACCCGGTCCTCTTCAAAGACCAGGTGTCGATACTGAGGAAGAAATACAGAGAAATCGAGAGGCTATAACCCCCGCAGAGCCCCCCCAGCTCCCTGTGCTCTGCGGACACAACAGATGAGGAGCGATGGGTGGAGAGGTGGGGGGGCTGATTTGAAGAAAAGAGCAGACGATACGTTTAGAGTTGGTTCCAGGGAAACAGGAAGTGAGGAAACTGGAACCAACATGAAGGACGCCACATTTTTACCCCCGTCTTCTTTGTTGTCCTTCTCTGTCTCTCCTTTCAACTGCTGCTGTCTTGTGTTTGTCGTTCAGGCGACTGAACTCATAACATCACTAGCTACCTGAACAGGTAAATTTGCTCACCTTTGGTCACAGAGTCTGAAAATTACAGCTTGCTGCATAAAAGTCCCCAACATTAACAAACCCAGTGCAAGTGACACTGTGTGTCTGAACATTATGCACATGTTTGTGAACATTTTTTGCTTCATAATAACTATGAAGATAACACTATTTCGGATCATGTTCAACTATTTTTTTATACAGTGTACAAATGGCCAGCATGACTTTCTCTTCTTTTTTTCCTCCTCTGTTGTCTTAAACAAGGATGGGCAAAGATCCTCCTCAGAGCCCTAAACCAGCTGATGATTGTTGATCTGACAGTGCCTCAGCATTTATCAAAAGGTTTTGTGGATCTGGGAATCTGAAAGATGGAAGACTGGGTGCAGATTTTACACCATGTCAGCCCTGCTGTCTTTTTTGTGTGTGTGTGTGTGTGTGTTGTCTCACTGTGATGTTTTTTTCCATATTACTGATAATGTGTTGCATTTTCCCGAGGATCAAAACGGTTTTATGAGAATATATTTTACATTTGCAGTCGAACAAACAAACAAATGTCTGTATGTGCCATTCTGAACAATCTCCCTCGCACAGAGCCAACATGAACAACTAGGTAGCCCACATGGGAATAGAGATGCCGCTAGAATTGCAGATTATTATTTTCCATTCCTAATGACTGATCAGAACCTGGACTGTTTGCTTGAATACATGCTAGTCTGACAAATGCAGATGCTTCATGTGTGGTGAAGGGAGACTCGGCTTGCCAACACGCCAGAAACCGGTCCATCGAAACAAAAACCGCTATGAAATCTACAGAACTTTTTTTTTTCTTCCTTTTTTGGATTTGGTGAATGAGGGATATTTATGTGTTGGCCCAATTTCACCAGAACCAAGCACCTGACACAGAAGCATGTCTACCATATTTTTGTGAGCAAATATGAAATCTCTCGGTAGCTCTGATTAAAATCAATGAAGAATGTTTCATGATCGACCAGCTGCATTCACGTCAGGCCTAAATCGACCCTCGTTTGTTTTGGATCTGCTGTCAAATTGGGTTTTTTACACTTGCTGGTTTATTAGGCTCTCTCACTTAGAAATGCTCAATTAACAATCTAGATCAGTGTTTTTTGTTAGTTTTTTTTTTTTTTGCTCTGACATGTCATATCAAGTTATCCTAAGATCTTGTGAAGCTGTTTCATGTCAAAGCCAGTAACTCCTTCCTCCAACTCATCCTGTGATGGCTTTCTAAAGATGAAAGAAGAGACGGTTTTGATGAGCTCATTCTCCTCCCTTTATGTGCCAATGGAGCATTTGTTTGTTTATGTTTTCTCATCTGCAGTGGGGAATGCCACACGTTCCCTCCCTAATCACGTGCGCTCTGACTAGAATGCAAGTGAAAACGAAGTGAGTTTTTTTGTTTTTTAGCGCCGGAGCTCCACAGACGGAGTGGGTGCTTGGTGTCGCTCTCCACTTCTGAGAATGTGTCATCGGCGTGAAAGCTGGCCAACAATCCCAGCTGAATGAACATCGTGCTGAAACAGAGTTCTGTTTTAGACATGAACTTGGTGCAATATAAAGGATGACGTTTTCTGTTTTTTTCTTTTCTTCTGTTTTTTAATGTTTCAGAGGGACGAGGTTATGTATTGATGTGCCTTCAGAGGAAATACACTTAAGATTTTTATTTTCGTCAGTCTTGCACAAAAATTCTGACCTTGTTATTTTAATGGCAGTTCTTGAAAATGTTTTCTCTTTTTCTTTTGTTTGTTTTCTTTTTAATCAAACCATAATGGCACCCCAAATCATTCAAATGCTAAAACCCCTGATTTACTGTTAGCTGTTTATTAATACCATTTTCTGTTTTTTACTTTCCTGGGATGTTTGACAGTCCCAGGAACTTACACCTGTCTCCGCTTCCTGCCTTGCGTCAGGCTGCGGGGTTCCAACCCTCCTCCTCATATTCGTCACAGATGCAGTAATTTATGGACAGACGTCTGACAGGATTCATCTCTGGACTCGATTATCCGCCTGCTTCCTTCTGTCTCTCTCTCTCTTCAGAGCCTGCACCCTTTGCTCTTTCTTTTCTTTTTGTGTTTTTTTAGACTGATAGAAAGATGGTTCAAGAAAATCATGGTTTTGGTCATTAATTTTATAAAAACAGATTGAAACAATTGTCAAATAAAAATCTTTGATATGAACGAACTTCATGTGCGTTTATTACCTCTTGCTTTGTTTTTAAAGGGTCCTCCGAAATCTTTTAAAGTCCCGTTTTGCCACAGCCGCAAAAATGGAACTAATCGCGCATTCTTCCATTTCTGAAGTTGAATGGAAGAATGTGTGGTGTTCACATGTATGAATCAAATTTACATTTCAGGCTCCTAAAGAATTTACAGCCCACTCTCTTACCTTCGGAAGTCGCATAATATTGGAACTATGACCCCAAATCCAAGATAAGTTTACAATTTAAGGACAAGTAGCAAAAACAAATGGATTAGTAGAGCTTGCAATTGACGCTGATGTGAAAACTGCTTCTTGAATACTGAGCTGTTGACATTTAATGCAGAAACTGCTTCTTCAGTCAGAGGCCTCTCTGGATGCGTTGCGGCACTGACTGCCACCGAAGATGAGTCACATTTAATGTCCCTCTGGGATAAAGTACTTTTAAATTGAATTGAAATGATGTGCGACTGGAGTGGAAGTTCTTGTGGCCCAGGTGACTGACTGACCTGCAGAGAGTGTGGAAGAAAATTAACATTTTGTAGTCAAAAGCTGTGGGAGGCATGTTCCAAAAGACTTTCAGTGGCACACCTATAAAACAGAGTGAATGGGGCTGAAAAAAAAGATTATTAAAATATATATAGGCTATGTGTATTTTTTAACTATCGCTAGGTTTTAAGACTGTATGACTCCACTTTGTGTTTGTCTATCACTTAAAATCCTTGTAAAAAAAAAAATTTTTAAAAGGCAAAATGGAAAATTTAAAAAGCACCGCTGCAAAATCAGTTGCAGTGGGCAAAGAAACAACTAATCAGCCAGCAACCTTAATTTTTTTTTTTTTTTCTATTTCCCAACTTCGTATATTCCTACATTCACTCACTGCAGCCACTCGGCAAGATGTAAACTAAGTAGGCTATATTACTTCCAGCTTCCCTTTTAGTCCGCACTTCAGCCTGCGCCAAGAAACTGTCGTGTTTACATCATTCTCCGTCAGGATGATTGGTTTAGACACGCTGCGTAAATAACGGCATCTATCTGAGATGATCCCCCGGTGCCAACTCAGCTGGAGAAAACGCTTCAGGAGCGACTGCTGCAGCGACACACACACACACACACACACACACACACACACACACACACACAGAAAGAGAGAGAGAGAGAGAGAGAGAGAGATGTTTAACTGGGCAAAATTTTCAAAAAAAATCATTACTCCAAAGCTCTGCGCAATTTCGAAGCTTAAATGGTCCCCCAGGATGAATCATCCGGCGTCTGGTTGAGAGAAACACTCTGGCCCCTTTCACAGAACATTGTCCACGTTGTGGACGTGCGGCTGACGGAAGTGTAACTGATAAGCCGACCTGTGAAATGTCAAGACATAATTGCCGCGGAGTTTCGCTCGACCGAAAGTTTTTTTTTTTTTTTTTTTTTTCCCCTTATCTCCCCGACAGTCTCTCCTGATTAAATAACATGCAAATCAGGCCAACTTTTAATCCCGTTGATGAGATGCGCATCTCGCAGCCCAGATGGATCAGAGTTTGCGCGCAGTCAGGACTCTTCGCCTCCCCTGCTGTTTGGATTAAAACCCTCTGACTTGAGGCTAAACTGGAGAAAAGGCATTTCTCCCCTCTCTGTCATCTTTTCATCAGATATCACCCCGCCATGAAAAGTGAACTTTCTTCTTCTTTTTCTTAAGAAAAACTTAAGCTTGAAGGAGAGAGCTTTGTTGCTGCTTTTCGGCGCTTTCTCAACTCAACAGTGGGCCGATCTGCTTTCTTATTCTGTTGGAAACATTTTTTTTTCATCGGTGTGTGTGTGTGTGTGTGTGTGTGTGTGTGTGTGTGTGTGTGTGTGTGTGTGTGTGTGTGTGTGTGTGTGTGTGTGTGATGCGTCTCTTTTTCGCTTAAACACTTCAGCAACAAACAGAATCCACGATTAGTAACTCAACAACCACGTTATTAAGACACGGCAAGATGTTTCATTCATAGCGTGAAAATATTAATTTAGCACATAATGTCTTGCAAAAGTACATCCATATCACCCCTAGGACGAGGTTTTTCCCCTTTCCCCCCTCTCCACGTTACAGCCATAAACGTTGAGATTTCATGAACACAAAGTGGAAGGAAAAGGAAATCGATACATCGTGTACCGTCAGATTTTAATCTCACGATACGTTCAGACATACCGTGAAGCCCTCAAAGGTTTGTTCGGAGGGAAACGTTAGTGAACAAACATCATAATTTTTTTTTATACAGGTGTGGAGATGATTGCACATGTCTGCTTTGATATGTGGAGATAATCAGGCCTTCTGCCTGCGTGACTGCCTGCATGATGTATGCCAAAGATAAGTCGCCTGAGGCAGGATGCGTCTGTGCTGCTTTTCTCTAGGCTGTGAAAGAATGATCCTTCACGTGATAACAGCAACTTGCTTTCAAGATTTTATATATATATATATACACTCCTGATCAAAATCTTAAGACCAGTCAAAAAATTGCAAGAATTTGCATTTTGCACTATTGAATCTTAAGAGCTTCACATTGTTAAAAGAAAATATCAGTGCAAGAGACAAAAACATTTGAGCAGGAAATTTTCTGAAAACTGCATTTATTCTCAAACATGATTTTTTCAGCTGATCAAAAGTTTAAGACCATAGTCTTTAAAAGCCAAAAGCTGTGCAAAAATCTGGATTCCATGTCATTTTCTGTGAAGTCTTTACACTGTCAAGACCTCCTGATGGCAAAAGCAAAAAAGTTCACTGACTTTGAACGTGGCAGGATTGTTGAGCTGCATAAGCAAGGCCTCTCACAACATGCCATCGCTGCTGAGGTCAGATGCAGTAAGACAGTCATTTTGCATTTTTTAAATGATCCTCAGGGTTATGGAACAAAAAAGTCAAGTGGTAGACCCCAAAAAATTTCACCAGCTCTGAGCCGCAGGATCCGATTGGCTGTCTGTCAAGACACGGGACGATCCTCTACCCAAATTAAAGCCATTACTGGTGGTGACTGCAGCCCAATAACCATCAGAAAGCATCTGCGAGAGAAGGGCCTCAGAAACAAAAAACGTCTTCAAAGGCCACGTCTTGTTCAACGCCACAAAATTGCCCATTTGGACTTTGCAAGGGTGCACCAAACATGGGATATTGAAAGGTGGAAGAAAGTTGTCTTCTCTCATGAGAAAAAGTTTAACCTTGATGGTCCTGATGGCTTCCAACGTTACTGGCATGACAGGGAGATCCCACCTGAGATGTTTTCTACACGGCACAGTGGGGGCGCCATCATGATTTGGGGTGCATTTTCCTTCAATGGAACAATGGAGCTTCAGGTTGTGCAGGGGCGTCAAACAGCAGCTAGCTATGTGGAGATGTTGCAGCGGGCATCCCTCATGACTGAGGGCCCTCGTCTGTGTGGTAATGACTGGGTTTTTCAACAAGACAATGCTGCAGTTCACAATGCCCGCCTGACAATGGAGTTCTTCCAAGAGAATAACATCACTCTTTTGGACCATCCTGCATGTTCCCCGGATCTAAACCCAATTGAGAACATTTGGGGATGGATGGCAAGGGAAGTTTACGAAAATGGACATCAGTTCCAGACAGTGGATGCTCTTCGTGAAGCCATTTTCAACACTTGGAGCAACGTTCCCACTAGTCTCCTGGAAACACTGGCATCAGGCATGCCTGAACGATTGTTTGAAGTCATCAACAAGAATGGTGGAGCTACTCATTACTGAGTCCTTTTTTTTGATACTTTGATTTCTCTTTTGGGGGGTTTTCGGGTTTTTTGAGATATGGTCTTAAACTTTTGATCAGGTGAAAAAATCATGTTTGAGAATAAATGCAGTTTTCAATTAATTCCCCGCTCAAAAGTTTTTTGTCTTTTACGCCGATTTCTTCTTTTAACATTGTGAAGCTCTACTTAGAACCTTCTTAAGATCCAATAGTGCTAAATGCAAATTCTTGCAATTTTTTGACTGGTCTTAAGATTTTGATCAGGAGTGTATATATCACCACAGATGGGTGCAAGAAGAAAAACAACCCGCTGGCAGCAACTAAGTAAAGAACTGCATATCTATCTATCTATCTATCTATCTATCTATCTATCTATCTATCTATCTATCTATCTATCTATCTATCTATCTATCTATCTATCTATCTATCTATCTATCTATCTATCTATCTATCTATCTATCTATCTATCTATCTATCTATCTATCTATCTATCTATCTATCTATCTATCTATCTATCTATCTATCTATCTATCTATCTATCCATCATCCATCCATCATCCATCCATCCATCCATCCATCCATCCATCCATCCATCCATCCATCCATCCATCCATCCATCCATCCATCTATAATTTATTTTTTTTGACTGTAAACATATATATATATATATATATATATATATATAAACATATATATGTTTATATATATATATATATATATATATATATATATATATATATATATATATATATATATATATATAATATATATATATATATATATATATTATAAACATATATATATATATATATATATATATATATATATATATATATATATATATATATAAACATATATATGTTTATATATATATATATACATATATATATATATATTATAAACATATATATATATATATATATATATATATATATATATATATATATATATATATATATTATATATATATACATATAAACATATATATGTTTATATATATATATATATATATATATATATATATATATATATATAAAACATATATATGTTTATATGTATATATATAAAATATATATATATATATATATATATATATATATATATATATATGTTTACAGTCAAAAAAAATAAATTATAGATAGATAGATGGATGGATGGATGGATATATAAAAATTTTATTTTTTATACCATGCTGACTTGATGTAATGCAAAAATTAGGCTTTGCGATATAAAGTGAAGAGTGGCGCAGTTGGTGGGT